AAGCATCTAAGGCCTATTTTTTTTCCCGTTTGTAGAACGCGTCCAATGTGTGTATTTAATGGGTTTACACCTAAAGTGGCAAAAGCTTATTTTAACCATTGAGTTATGCATGTCAGTTGGAATTAGAAATTTCAAAGATCATCAACAGGATAATAAAATTAAATGGTGAAATTGGGTCAACATTCTGGAATGGTTATTAAGTGACAAAAAACATGTAACTTAAAGAAACTTCTGTGGGTCAACAACCTGTTTCCACTAAAAATAAATAAAATAGTGTTTGTAGCTTAAATAGTTAAGTATCGTACGCTATCATAAAAGTGTCTGTTAAAATATTTAGTGCAATTTCATCTCGAAAAATACATTATCTCAAACATATCATGTTCATTTGATCATTCGAAGCCACAGCAATCTGATTTAAAGAAAACTTTAAATTAGATTAATTACATATAATCCTAAAGACATATATTCTCTCTTTCATACATACATACATACATACATTTGGAATGTATAGCTTCAAGCTACATGAGATTTGTTCAGTCATAGACAGGCAACAAAGAATGTTGCCGAAAAATGTGATATATATATATATATATAATCCTAAAATATCTACAAAATATATTTATTGTGCCTGAGGTACTTAATTTTAGATTCAAGTTTCACTTATACAGTACATAGTGTATATAACTATAGCTCCGTTTGTAGTTCGGCTTATTAATAGGTGAGTAGAATACAAAACATTTATTTGAACAATTAATGATTCTATTCATTACAGTTATAGTTGATTATTGCATTAAAACCACTCAAACGTAGTTTATAAAAAATAAAACAACGTAAACAAGTGTAAATAATCTTCCAGAAAAATAAATATATATTTTCTGTTCTGCGAAAATAACAGAGAATTCGACTAATTTCAGTTTGCATATTTCAAGTTTGAAAATATTCCCTTTTTTTTGCATTACTTTCCTGTGCCATGTGACATGTGCAATGACAGTAGCAGTACTGAAATAAAGTTAAAGTTAAATAAAGTGCTTTGATCATTATTTGATCAAGTGATGGATCATTATTTGATCAAGTGATGGATCATTATTTGATCAAGTGATGGATCATTATTTGATCAAGTGATGGATCATTATTTAATCAAGTGATGGATCATTATTTGATCAAGTGATGGATCATTATTTAATCAAGTGATGGATCATTATTTAATCAAGTGATGGATCATTATCAACAATTCTATTATCCCTTTCAAACCAATCCGTTTTTCCGCCAACTTTACCGTACAGCCAACTTTTTTCCTGCTTTTCCTTACATCTGAAAGGTATTGCCGGTATCAAACCCTCTACTTTTTTTTCTGCCTAACGACCTAGTAATCATTTGGGTAATGTTCTGCCTATGGCTTGGTATGAAACGTAGCCGTAATGCTGAGGCGTTAATGGCACGCACTACGCTGTTAAACTTTTGATAGTTGCTAGGCAGTGCCCGTTAACCATCCACCTGCCAGTTCTAAACTTTTGATAGTTGCTAGGCAGTGCCCGTTAACCATCCACCTGCCAGTTCTAAACTTTGCAAGGCATGTCACTTCACCCATCTCTTCGCATAGCCCACCACTAAGCATGCACTGTTTTCTTAGCCACAACTGGATGGATTCATAGTGAATGACTGTGGGAATAAATATCACTGAATGATGAAACTATTGGAATAAAGTAGAAAGCTAAATCAATTGAAGGCATGTATCAAATTGTTGCTTACTGAAACATCCAATTGTTATTATACATTTGAAGCAACCTACCTGCGTCAGGCTGCTTGTGGTCAACTGGATACAGTGCCTTCAGAAAGTATTCAGACCCCTTGACTTTTTCCACATTTTGTTACGTTACAGCCTTATTCTAAAATTGTTTAAATAGTTTTTTTCCCCTCATCAATCTACACAAAATACCCCATAATGACAAAGCAAAAACAGGTTTTTAGAACTTTTTGCAAATGTATGAAAAAAAAAATGTTTATATCCATTTACATAAGTATTCTGACCTTTTACTCAGTACTTTGTTGAAGCACCTTTGACAGTGATTATAGCGTTGAGTCTTCCTGGGTATGACGCTACAAGCTTGACACACCTGTATTTGGGGAGTTTCTCCCATTCTTCTCTGCAGATCCTCTCAAACTCTGGAAGGTTGGATGGGGAGCGTCGCTGCACAGCTATTTTCAGGTTTCTCCAGAGATGTTAGATCGGGTTCAAGTCCGGGCTCTGGCTGGGCCACTCAAGGACATTCAGAGACTTGTCCCGAAGCCACTCCTGGGCAGTCTGCTTAGGGTCGTTGTCCTGTTGGAAGGTGAACCTTCTCCCCCAGTCGGAGGTCCTGAGCAGGTTTTCATCAAGGATCTCTCTGTACTCTTTCCCTCGATCCTGACTAGTCTCCCAGCCCCTGCCGCTGAAAAACATCCCCACAGCATGATGCTGCCACCCCCATGCTTCACCGTAGGGATGGTGCCAGGTTTCCTCCAGACGCGACGCTTGGCATTCATGCCAAAGAGTTCAATCTTGGTTTCATCAGACCAGATAATCTTGTTTCTCATGGTCTGAGAGTCTTTAGGTGCCTTTTGGCAAACTCCAAGTGGACTGTCATGTGCCTCTTACTGAGGAGTGGCTTCCGTCTGGCCACTCTACCATAAAGGCCTGATTGGTGGAGTGCTGCAGAGATGATTGTCCTTCTGGAAGGTTCTCCTATCTCCACAGAGGAACTCTGGAGCTCTGTCAGAGTCACCATCAGGTTCTTGGTCACCTCCGTAACCAAGGCCCTTCTCCCCCGATTGCCCAGTTTGGCCGGGCGGCCATCTCAAGTAGGAGTCTTGGTGGTTCCAAAATTCTTCCATTGAAGAATGATGGAGGCCACTTTGTTCTTGGGGACCTTCAATGCTGCAGACATTTTTTGATACCCTTCCCCAGATCTGTGCCTCGACACAATCCTGTCTCCGAGCTCTACGGACAATTCCTTCGACCTCATGGCTTGGTTTTTGTTCTGACATGCACTGTCAACTGTGGGACCTAATATAGACAGTTGTGTGCCTTTCCAAATTTACATTTTACATTTACATTTTAGTCATTTAGCAGACGCTCTTATCCAGAGCGACTTACAGGAGCAATTAGGGTTAAGTGCCTTGCTCAAGGGCACATTTACGTCATTTAGCAGACGCTCTAGTCCAGAGCGACTCACAAATTGATGCATTCACCCTATAGCCAGTGGGATAACCACTTTACAATTACAATTTTTTTTTTTGGGGGGGGGGGGGGTAGAAGGATTACTTTATCCTATCCCAGGTATTCCTTAAAGAGGTGGGGTTTCAAATGTCTCCGGAAGGTGGTGAGCGACTCCGCTGTGTGTGTGTGTGTGTGGGGGGGGGGGGGGGGGGGGTAGAAGGATTACTTTATCCTATCCCAGGTATTCCTTAAAGAGGTGGGGTTTCAAATGTCTCCGGAAGGTGGTGAGCGACTCCGCTGTGTGTGTGTGGGGGGGGGGGGGGGTAGAAGGATTACTTTATCCTATCCCAGGTATTCCTTAAAGAGGTGGGGTTTCAAATGTCTCCGGAAGGTGGTGAGTGACTCCGCTGTGGGGTGGGGGGGGGTAGAAGGATTACTTTACCCTATCCCAGGTATTCCTTAAAGAGGTGGGGTTTCAGATGTCTCCGGAAGGTGGTGAGCGACTCCGCTGTGTGTGTGGGGGGGGGGGGGGGGGTAGAAGGATTGCTTTATCCTATCCCAGGTATTCCTTAAAGAGGTGGGGTTTCAAATGTCTCCGGAAGGTGGTGAGTGACTCCGCTGTCCTGGCGTCGTGAGGGAGCTTGTTCCACCATTGGGGTGCCAGAGCAGCGAACAGTTTTGACTGGGCTGAGCGGGAACTATGCTTCCGCAGAGGAAGGGGAGCCAGCAAATCATGTCCAATCAATTGAATTTACCACAGGTGGACTCCAATCAAGTTGTAGAAAAATCTCAAGGATGATTAATGGAAACAGGATGCACCTGAGCTCAATTTCGAGTCTCACAGCAAAGGGTCTGAATACATCGCGCTGCTTTGAGACAAGCGTTTGGACTCATCTTGATAAATCAATCAATGTCCGTTTGGATATTGGTTAGGCTACAATTAGGCTGGGGAAATGTTAGCTAAGTTGAGGTGAGTGATGCTCTGATCGTCTTGTCTAGTTGGCTGATTTATTAGAACATTTTGCCAGCATGTTATACAGTATATGTAGTTTAACAAGTGAATTATTTTGCACTTCACTCGCAGTCACTTAGTCGCTTTATTCCCGAACAAAAGCCTGTGACTTCACTGACTTGTCTCGATCAATGTGATTTTGTTTCACTCAATCTCCGTCTGTATATTTGGTTAATTCTCTGGCTGGGCAAATAAGTGGAGGTATAGCTCATCTATCACTGATCAGAAACATTTTTAGCATGTAGCAATGTAGCCTAAATCAAGAGTAGGCCTATTACTTTGCTCGATCGCGTGTAGGCAACTCTAAAAGCCCGCGGAGGTTATGAAATATGAACATGAGACGCACATGCTTTTGAAAATAGGATTTCTATTATTTTCTATTGGTATCATGATGAAGAAACTCTCAACTCTCTATGCCTGCCCCCTAACAACGTGGCGTGAGGGTAGGAAAGCATGGGCTCTGTTTCAAAATATCACCTTTTTTTTTTTATATATGACAGTGGTTCCACATATTTCCGTGACTCAAGTTGTGTGGGAACGAATTAATAATGGATTTTCTTTTTGATGGTGTAAATTCAATGGATTTAATAAAATAGGCGCCCAGCCACATCTGCACACCTCTATTACCGCGGGAGGTATAAAAGGCATATGCAGGCAAGAATATGGTCAAATGGGGGGGTCATATAAACATTGCCCAATTTTTGTTTTACAAGCAAAATATCGTAAATTAAGTTTGAAGAGTTTTTAGAAATCAAGATCGTCTTGATCAATATCCTTGGCCTTGCTTGACTTGACAGATCTTGCCAGAGACTTCTTTGGAGTCTTCTTCTTTGGGGAACTTACTTGTCGCTCGAGAACCTCGCTGGCTGACTCTGTGACTTCTGACACTCTGCTCTCGTCCTCTGTGTCCATCTGCTTTCTCTTCACCAAGAGGTGGTGGCCTGAGCTTATCCCTGACCCTGTCTGTGAACTCTTCTCGCTGTTGGACTCTCTCTCGGCCTCTTCATCCAGGATTTCGTCCAGCGAGCCTGGTTGGGATTCCATGGAAGATTTGGTTGGCTGGCTATGTAGGCTCGTTTCAGATGTCCCAGAATGTCCATCGCCATCACTGTTGTCTTCAGACTGTCCTTTGCTTGTGACATCATCAGCCTCATTGGCTGGTTCTTCCTCAGGAGCAGCATAGTTTTCAGCTGTATCCTCCTCATCTTCCTCCTTCCCCTTCTCAGCTTCTGCCAGATCCTCGTCAACTTCAGCCTGATCCTCCTCCTGCTCCTCCTCAACTTCAGCCTTCTCCTCTTCCTCCTCCTTCTCCTCCACTTCCTCCTGCCCCTCCTCAACTTCCTCTTCAGCTTCCTCCTGGTCTTCCTCAGCAGCAGCAGCAGCGTCGTCTTCTGCTGCATCCTTCTTTTCCACTTCCTCCTGCTCCTCCTCCCCTTCCTCATTCAGCTCCTCAACTGGAGTCTCTTCAACTGGGGTTTCCTCAGCTTCCTGCTCCTCTTCAGCTTCCTCCTCCGCCTGAAGCTCAGCCTCTGCTTGGGCCTCTTGGGCCTCTGACTCTTGGTTGTTTACATCAGCCTCTGAATCCTCAACGTCGGCGTTGGCACCATCTTCAGAGAACTCTGCTCTGGTCAAGGCATCGAATGAGGTCACTGGAGTTTCCTCAACAGTTTCCTCCATGTTGTCTTTCCTGACGGCTGGCACTTCTGATTGTTCCCCCTCATCTGCCGACACTTCCAGCTCAGACAAATCCTCATCCCCTCCGTCGACCGAGTGCCCAAAGTTTCCGCAGCAATCCTCTTCATTGGCTGTCTCGTTTCTCGCCGTCATTTCCGCTTCTATTTCTTCCTTTTCAAACCCCTCTATGACATCTTCGGCTTGGTCTTGGCTTCCGTTTGCAAGGTCCTCACTCTCTGCTTCTTCTGCCTCCTCTTCTTGTTCTGTTTCTTCCTCCTCCTGAACCATATCTTGGTCTGTCGTTTCGCCCTCCTCCGCCTCATCGTCTGCTTTTATCTCCGACATGTCATTGTGACCCTCCGTCTCCTCGACTACTGGCTCTATTTTCTCTTCTTTTTCAGCTTCCACTTTTTCTACATCCTCTTCAGCTCCATTTCCTGCTGCTTCAGCTGCCTCTGCTTCGGCAGTCTCTTCTTCGTCTGCTGTTTCGTCGTCAGTTGTTTCGTCGTCAGCTGCAGTGTCAGCTTGTGCTGTCTCTTCTCCTGCAGTTTCAGCTGGTGCCAACTCATCACCGGTTGTTTCAACTTCAGCCGACTCCTCGCCAGTTGTTTCATTTTCTGCTGACTCATCCCCTGTGGTTTCATCTTCTCCAGCAGTCTCATCGTCTGCAGTCTCAGCTTCAGCCTCCTCTTCTGCCTCTGCCTCCGCTGTCTCTGGCTCTAAGGCAGCTTCATCTTCATCTGCCTCTATTTCAGCAGTATTTTCTTCTGCTGCCTCAGCTTCAGCTATTTCATATTCAGCTATCTCTGCTTCAGCAGTCTCCTCGTCGTCTTCAATGCCTGTTCCATTTTCAACTGTTTCAGCTTCTGCAGTTTCCTCGTCAGCTGCCTCTACTTCAGTTGTACCCTCTTCTTCAGCTATCTCTTCTTCTGCAGCCTCCTCCTCTCCTGCAGTTTCATCTTGAGCTGTCTCTTCTTCTGCTGCTGTCTCAGATTCTGCAGCCTCCTCTTCTCCGGCAGTTTCGTCTCCAGCTGTTTCACCTTTAGCATCATTTTCACCTGTTGTCTCATCAGCGGTTTCTGTCTCTGCTGTCTCAGCTTCGGCTTTCTCATATTCCTCTTCAGCTGCCTCTTCTTCAGCAGTCTCTCTTCCTGCTGTTTCATTGTCAGCAGTCTCAGCTTCAGCATCATCCTCTACTGCTTCATCTTCCTCCTCTCCTGCAGTTTCCTCTTCAACTGCCTCAGTTTCAGCTTCCTCCTCTTCTGCTGTCTCTGCCTCAGCACTCTCCTCCTCTCCAACAGTCTCATCTTCTCCGGCAGTTTCATCTTCAGTTGACTCTACTTTGGCACTCTCAGCTTCGACAGTGTCATCTTCTCCCTCTACTTCAGCTTCCTTGTCTTCTCCTGCATCCTCAGCAGTCTCTGCCTCTGCAGTTTCAGCTTCAGCTTCCTCCTCTCCTGCCATTTCATCATCAGCTGCCTCTGCTTCAGTGCTCTCCGCTTCTTCTGCTGTTGATCCTGCTGCTATAACAGTTTCTTCTTCTGCTTCTTCATCAGCTGTCTCTACTTCAGCAGTGTCCTCTTCTCCTGCTGTTTCGTCATCAGCTGCTGTCTCTGCTTCAGCAGTTTCTTCTTCTCCTGCTTCATCTTCTGCTTTCTCAGCTTCTGCTGTTTCTGCTTTAGCTTCCTCCTCCTCTTCTCCTGCTTCATCTTCTGTAGTTTCTGCGTCAACAGTTTCTTCTTCTGCTACTTCATCTTCAGCAATATCAGCTTCCTCTTCTTCTCCTGCTTCATCTTTAGCTGTCTCTTCTACTGCTGCCTCAGCTTTATCACCCATTTCATCATCATGTTCAGCATCTTTCTGTTCTCGTGATTCCTCCACCTCCTTCTTAGCCCTGTTGATAACGTTTTCAACAAGAGTTTCCGCTGCTTTGGCTTCATCCATACCTCCAGTCTCATCTGTAACATTGACTTCTTCTTGTATCTGTGGAGGATTGTCCTTTTTCAACTGGAGAATTGACTTTAAATCAAATGAATGTATAATACTAGTTTTCACTACTTTGGCTTCATCCATAGTTTCAGTGTCATCAGTAACGTCAACTTCTTGTGTATTTGGAGTAGGGTCCTTTTTCAACTGGAGGATTGACTTTAGATCAAACGCCATTATGACTGGAGCAATATGCAAAACTTCTGCAGGAAGCAGTGGCCCCAATTCTAGTTTCTTTTTTATACAAGTTTCACAAGGGCAATATTCATCATCACTCCGTTGGTCACTGAAAGAAGTGCCAGTTGCATCGTCGCTTTTCTCCTCTCGGTAATCAATAGACTGGTTGCGCACGACCTTCAGTCTTCTTCGCCTCGTCTCTGTTTGTGCACTTGATTCTCGTGACAATTCTTCTTTGGGTGGTCTTGGTCTTCCAGCCCGACCGTGGATCTTCCTCAGTTCCCTGTCGACGCTTAATTGTATCCTCCTGTGCACATCGTCTTTCAGTTCGGCTATCATGGCATCGAGCTGTTTGCTTTCGTCCAAGTTCCAGCGAACCTTGAACTCAGCCATGGCATCCACATAATGTGTCATGAACTGCTTCTCTAGTTTGTTCAGTAACTTCAAGACCCAGACAGGATCAGGATCTAGGGAAACCTTTTTGGCTAGTTGTGCCCTTTGGACAGACGGAGGAGAGCCAGAGCTTGTGTCCTCTCGAGGGTCTGAGCTCTTGTTGGAAGACGGGGGTGTTTCTGGTAATTCTCTCAGACTTTCATTTCTAACGGTGTCATCAGACGCCGGGATGTCTTCATCTTTTTGTTTCTCTTCCTCCACTGCTGTTCCTCCTCCTCCTTCTCCTCCTCCTTCCTCTGTGGTCCATTGGACCTGACTGGCTACGTCCAGAGTGGCTGGATCAGACAATGGGATTGAGGACTCTGGGCTTTCCTGTTCCTCTGCAGTTTCATCAACTTCTTGTACCTTCAGCAATGCTTCCCCCTCTGCGTTCGGTGCCTGAGCCACACCACCTGAGCTCTTACCTGAGCCTGTTGAGCCACTGCTGACGTCCACCCCAGAGGAGGACTTTGCTTTGGTATCACCGTCCACAGAGTGTTGATCACAGCCATTCTGCTGTGTCTTTTGATTCTCTGCAGGGTCACACAACCAGAGGGACTGGAGGATGTTCATTAGCTCTCTGTACCTTGCTTCCTTAGCGTTTGCATCGTCATTGGGATCAAAGTCTATCAACTGCAGCTTTGCGAGGCAATCCAGGAGACCTCTGGCTGAGGTGCTCAGTTTACGTCCGTACACTGGGGAAACTTCCGGTAAGCTGTGACACCGGTCAAGCTTGGGACTCAACAGCACTTTCATCACCTGCACTGAGGAGTGAAAGCTCTTTGATATATCCTCCTGTGGAGCGGTGCCCTCTGGTGGGGTCTCTGGTGGGGTCTCCGCTGGCTCCTCACCGTCAGCCACATGGTTGGCTGCTGTCTCTTTGGGCTCTTCCTTTTCTTTTTGAGTCTCACACTCAGCAGTGATGTCAATCTCCTCCGTCCCATTCGGTTTTTCCTTTGGTGCCATCTCCGGTGAATGGCCTCTGTCACTGAATTCATCCCCAATGTCGTACATCGCACTGTCGGATGGTATTTTCTTAAGCCACTCACTCACAACATCTGTTGGAGAGGCGTTGGGTAGATTGGAGGGAACCAGCTCAGAGACATCTCCTTCCAGCAACCGTAGGGAGGAACTGCAAGAGGAAACCCCTTTCCTGTGTTTGCGCTTGCTGCTCTTGCCACTTTTGTTGTCACTGACATTCCTGCCTGTCGCTTCTAAGGGGCCATCGCATAAGATGTCAGAGTTCTCCTTCACTGGATCTGCTGCGTGTAACTTGTTACTGTCACTCGAGACACCAAGTAGAATAACAGGTTGTTTAGTTTGTCTAGGGGTTGGTGGGCAGTGTGGTGGAGTAGGAGTGAGATGACTCTCTGACGCAACAGAGTTAGGTCTGGGAGTGTCTACATGATCTCTAGTGGCAGTCTTCTTTGATCTGTTTGTCTTCATTGAAATATCACTCCCTTTGTCACTTTTGGCATCATCCGTATTGTTTTTGTCCTTTTGTCCTTTCACTTGCAGGTGGGACGACACATTGGACATGTTGCTTTTAGGTCTCTCAGTCACTTCAGCAGTTCTGCTATTCTCTGATGCATGGGTCCTGTCTGATGCGTGGGTTCTGTCTGATACGTGGGTCCTGTCTAATATGTGGGTCCTGTCTGATATGTGGGTCCTGTCTGATGTGTGGATCCTGTCTGATGCGTGGATCCTGTCTGATATGTGGGTTCTGTCTGATCCGTGGGTCCTGGCTGATGCTTGGGTCCTGGCAGATGCGTGGGTTCCGGCTGATCTTGCCGACACAGCACTTGTTGCTTTTTCCACATTTTCCTCTACCTGCTCTGCAGCCTTTTCTTCAGAAGCAACTTCAGAAGCTTTGGATTTCCCTGATCTTGCAGAGACATTGGACTTAGCTGACTTAGCTGACGTAGCACTGGGTGCTCTCTCTTCTGTTTCATTCTCAGTTTCGTCAGCAGGAACTTCGGACTTAGCAGATATAGCGCTAGCTGCTCTCTCAGTTTGATCCTCTTTTTCAGCAGGGACTTCAGACACTCTGGACTTCCTGGATCTTGCAGAGATATTAGACTTAGCTGACATAGCGCTCGGTGCTCTCGCTTCAGTTTCCCCTACTTCATATTCAATGGTTTCTTCAGCAGGAACTTCTGAAGCCTCCACTTCCACTTCCACTTCAGCAGGAACTCCAGAAGCTTTAGATTTTGTCGATCTTGCTGAAGCATTTGACTTGGCTGACTTAGCTGACATAGCACTAGCTGCTCTCTCCTCCTCTGCAGCAGGATCATCTGAAAAGTCGTATTTCTTGTGTCTTGCTGACATATTGTACTTAGCAGACTTAGCAGACATAGCACTGGATGCTCTCTCGGGTTCTTCAAGACAGAGTTCAGAAACATTAGACTTAGCAGACTTAGCAGACATAGCACTGGATGCTCTCTCGGGTTCTTCAAGACAAAGTTCAGAAACCTTGGACTTCTTTGATCTTGCAGAAACATTAGACTTAGCTGACTTAGCAGACATGGCACTGGATGCTCTCTCGGGTTCTTCAAGACAAAGTTCAGAAACCTTGGACTTAGCAGACTTAGCAGACATAGCACTGGATGCTCTCTCGGGTTCTTCAAGACAAAGTTCAGAAACCTTGGACTTCTTTGATCTTGCAGAAACATTAGACTTAGCTGACTTAGCAGACATAGCACTGGATGCTCTCTTGGGTTCTTCAAGACAGAGTTCAGAAACATTAGACTTAGCAGACTTAGCAGACATAGCACTGGATGCTCTCTCGGGTTCTTCAAGACAAAGTTCAGAAACCTTGGACTTCTTTGATCTTGCAGAAACATTAGACTTAGCAAACTTAGCAGCTACGGCACTAGGTGCTCTTTCTTTAATTTCTTCCAATTCCTCATCTCCATTTTCCATAGGAAAAATGTCAGAAGATTTAGACTTCGCTGATCTTGCAGAAACATTTTTGGATCTTGCTGAAACATTGGACTTTGCAGACATAGCGCTGGGAGCTCGATCCTCTGTTTCGTCCTCTGGCTCAGCAGTTTCCTCTACATCCTCTTCTGCATTTTCTTCAGCAGGAATTTCTGAAGCTTTAGATTTCTTGGATCTTGCAGAGACATTGGACTTAGCTGACTTAGCTGACATAGCACTGGGTGCTCTCTCCTCAGCTACCTCCACGTCCTCTTCCGCGTTATCGTCAGCTGGAGCTGGAGTTTCATCCTCAGGTTCAGCAGGAACTTCAGACATAGCTGACATGGCACTAGGTGCTCTCTCAGTTTCTTCTATCTCTTTTGCATTTTCCTCAGCAGGAACTCCAGAAGCTTTAGATTTTGTCGATCTTGCTGAAGCATTTGACTTGGCTGACTTAGCTGACATAGCACTAGCTGCTCTCTCCTCCTCTGCAGCAGGATCATCTGAAAAGTCGTATTTCTTGTGTCTTGCTGACATATTGTACTTAGCAGACTTAGCAGACATAGCACTGGATGCTCTATTGGGTTCTTCAAGACAGAGTTCAGAAACATTAGACTTAGCAGACATAGCACTGGATGCTCTCTCGGGTTCTTCAAGACAAAGTTCAGAAACCTTGGACTTCTTTGATCTTGCAGAAACATTAGATTTAGTTGACATAGCACTAGGTGCTCTTTCTTCAATATCTTCCAATTCTTTGTCTCCATTTTCTACAGGAGGAACTTCTAAAGCTTTAGACGTCACTGACCTTGCAGATACATTGGATTTCTTTGATTTTGCAGAAGCATTAGATTTAGCAGACATAGCACTGGGTGCTCTCTCTTCAGTTTGATCCTCTTCTTCAGCAGGAACTGCAGAAGCTCTGGATGTCTTGGATCTTGCTGAAACATTAGACTTAGCTGACTTGGCAGACATAGCGCTCGGTGCCCTTTCCTCAGTTTCTTTTTCTTTATCTTCAGCTGTTTCTTCAGCAGGAATTTCTTTTTCCTCTTCTACAGTTTCTTCAACTCTCTCTTCAGTTTCTTCTACTTTCTCTTCTGCATTTTCTTCTGCCGGAACGTCTTCAGCTGTTTCTTCAGCAGGAACTTCAGAAGCTTTAGATTTCTCACGTCTTGCCGAAACAGCAGACGAACCAGACAACGCGCTGGGTGCACTCTCTTCAGTATCTAATTCAGGACTAAGTTTAGAAACCTTTGACTTCTTTGATTTTCCAGAAACAGACTTATTTGACTTAGTTGACATGGCACTAGGTGCACTCTCTTCAATTTCTTCAAATTCCTCGTCTCCGTTTTCCTCAGGAGGAACTTCAGAAGTTTTAGACTTCGCTGATCTTGCAGAAACATTGGATTTCTTGGATCTTGCTGAAACATTGGACTTAGCAGACATAGCGCTGGGAGCTCGGTCCTCCCCTTCTGCATTTTCATCAGCCAGAACATCAGTTTCTTCTACCTTCACTTCCGCGTTTTTCTCAGCTCCCTCTTCAGTTTCTTCCTCGGCAGCTTTAGATTTCATAGATCTTGCTGAAGCGTTTGACTTAGCAGACATAGCACTTAGTGCTCTCTCCTCAGTTTCCCCAACTTCATATTCTGCGTTGTCTTCAGCAGGATCATCAGAAATATTGGACATAGCTGCTCTCTCTTCAGTTTCATCCTCTTTTTCATCTGAAAAGTCATATTTCTTGTATCTTGATGACCGATTGTACTTAGCAGACATGGCGCTGGATGATCTCTGAGCGTCTTCTTCAACACAAAGTTGTGAAACCTTGGTTTTCTTCAATCTTGAAGACGCATTGGACTTAGATGACATAGCTGACATGGCGCTAGGCGCTCTCTCTTCAGTTTCCTCTACTGTGTCTTCTGCATTGTCTTCAGCAGGAATATCAGAAACATTACACTTAGCTGACATAGCACTGGGAGCTTGTTCCTCTGTTACATCTGCTTCTGCGTTTTCCTCTGCTGCGTCTTCTGCTGTTTCCTCAGCAGGAACATCAGTTCCTTCTACCTCATCTTCTATGTTTTCTTCAGCAGGAAATTCAGAAGCTTTTGACCTCCTGGATCTTGTAGAGACATTGGACTTAGCTGACATGGCACTAGCTGCTCTCTCCTCCTCTGCAGCAGGATCATCTGAAAAGTCGTATTTCTTGTGTCTTGCTGACATATTGTACTTAGCAGACTTAGCAGACATAGCACTGGATGCTCTATTGGGTTCTTCAAGACAGAGTTCAGAAACATTAGACTTAGCAGACATAGCACTGGATGCTCTCTCGGGTTCTTCAAGACAAAGTTCAGAAACCTTGGACTTCTTTGATCTTGCAGAAACATTAGATTTAGTTGACATAGCACTAGGTGCTCTTTCTTCAATATCTTCCAATTCTTTGTCTCCATTTTCTACAGGAGGAACTTCTAAAGCTTTAGACGTCACTGACCTTGCAGATACATTGGATTTCTTTGATTTTGCAGAAGCATTAGATTTAGCAGACATAGCACTGGGTGCTCTCTCTTCAGTTTGATCCTCTTCTTCAGCAGGAACTTCAGAAGCTCTGGATGTCTTGGATCTTGCTGAAACATTAGACTTAGCTGACTTGGCAGACATAGCGCTCGGTGCCCTTTCCTCAGTTTCTTTTTCTTTATCTTCAGCTGTTTCTTCAGCAGGAACTTCTTTTTCCTCTTCTACAGTTTCTTCAACTCTCTCTTCAGTTTCTTCTACTTTCTCTTCTGCATTTTCTTCTGCCGGAACGTCTTCAGCTGTTTCTTCAGCAGGAACTTCAGAAGCTTTAGATTTCTCACGTCTTGCCGAAACAGCAGACGAACCAGACAACGCGCTGGGTGCACTCTCTTCAGTATCTAATTCAGGACTAAGTTTAGAAACCTTTGACTTCTTTGATTTTCCAGAAACAGACTTATTTGACTTAGTTGACATGGCACTAGGTGCACTCTCTTCAATTTCTTCAAATTCCTCGTCTCCGTTTTCCTCAGGAGGAACTTCAGAAGTTTTAGACTTCGCTGATCTTGCAGAAACATTGGATTTCTTGGATCTTGCTGAAACATTGGACTTAGCAGACATAGCGCTGGGAGCTCGGTCCTCCCCTTCTGCATTTTCATCAGCCAGAACATAAGTTTCTTCTACCTTCACTTCCGCGTTTTTCTCAGCTCCCTCTTCAGTTTCTTCCTCGGCAGCTTTAGATTTCATAGATCTTGCTGAAGCGTTTGACTTAGCAGACATAGCACTTAGTGCTCTCTCCTCAGTTTCCCCAACTTCATATTCTGCGTTGTCTTCAGCAGGATCATCAGAAATATTGGACATAGCTGCTCTCTCTTCAGTTTCATCCTCTTTTTCATCTGAAAAGTCATATTTCTTGTATCTTGATGACCGATTGTACTTAGCAGACATGGCGCTGGATGATCTCTGAGCGTCTTCTTCAACACAAAGTTGTGAAACCTTGGTTTTCTTCAATCTTGAAGACGCATTGGACTTAGATGACATAGCTGACATGGCGCTAGGCGCTCTCTCTTCAGTTTCCTCTACTGTGTCTTCTGCATTGTCTTCAGCAGGAATATCAGAAACATTACACTTAGCTGACATAGCACTGGGAGCTTGTTCCTCTGTTACATCTGCTTCTGCGTTTTCCTCTGCTGCGTCTTCTGCTGTTTCCTCAGCAGGAACATCAGTTCCTTCTACCTCATCTTCTATGTTTTCTTCAGCAGGAAATTCAGAAGCTTTTGACCTCCTGGATCTTGTAGAGACATTGGACTTAGCTGACATAGCACTAGCTGCTCTCTCCTCCTCTGCAGCAGGATCATCTGAAAAGTCGTATTTCTTGTGTCTTGCTGACATATTGTACTTAGCAGACTTAGCAGACATAGCACTGGATGCTCTCTCGGGTTCTTCAAGACAAAGTTCAGAAACCTTGGACTTTGATCTTGCAGAAACATTAGTCTTAGCTGACTTAGCAGACATGGCACTAGGTGCTCTTTCTTTAATTTCTTCCAAATCCTTATCTTCATTTTCCACAGGAGGAACTTCTGAAGCTTTGGATTTAACTGACACAGCACTGGGAGCACGATCCTCTGTTTCCTCTGCTTCTTCTGTTTCCTCTGCTTCCTCTGTTTCCTCTGCTTCCTCTGCTTCCTCTGTTTCCTCTGCTTCCTCTGCTTCCTCTGTTTCCTCTGTTTCCTCTGCTTCCTCCGGGACTTTTTCTTCTGTTTGTTCTACCTCCTCTTCTGCATTTTCTTCAGCAAGAGCTTCCGACATAGCACTAGCTGCTCTCTCAGATTCTTCCACTTCTGCGTTGTCTTGAGCATTGGAAACATTGGACTTAGCAGACATAGCACTATATGGTCTCTCTTCAGATTGATCCTCTTCTCCATCAGAAACATAGTATTTCTTGTATCTTGATGACCGGTTGTACTTAGAAGACATTGCGCTGGATGTTCTCTCAATATCTTCTCCAACACAAAGTTGAGAAACCTTGGTCTTCTTTGATCTGGTAGAAACATTGGACTTAGCAGACATAGCGCTCGGTGATCTCTCCCCAGTTTCTTCTTCCTGTTCTGCATTTTCGTCAGCTGGAGCTTCAGAAACATTGGATTTCTTAGATCTTGCCGAAACATTAGACTTAGCTGACATAGCGCTCGGTGATCTCTCCTCAGTTTCCCCAACATCATCTTCTGCTGTAGACTTTCTTGATCTTGCTGAGGCATGAGATTTAATAGACATAGCACTGGATGCTCTCTCTTCAGTTTGTTCTACATCTGCATTTTCTTCAGCAGGAACAACTATGGATTTCTTGCATCTTGCCGAAACGGCGGACTTACCAGACAAGGCACTGGCTGCTCTAAGTTCTTCTTCTGGACAGAGTTCAGAAACCTTGCACTTCTTTGATTTTGCAGAAATATTAGACTTAGCTGACTTAGCAGACATGGCACTAGGTGCTCTTTCTTTAATTTCTTCCAATTGCTCGTCTTCATTTTCCTCAGGAGGAACTTCTGAAGCTTTGGATTTAACTGACACAGCACTGGAAGCACGATCCTCTGTTTCCTCTGCTTCCTCTGTTTTCTCTGTTTCCTCTGCTTCCTCTGGGACGTTTTCTTCTGTTTGTTCTACCTCCTCTTCTGCATTTTCTTCAGCAGTAGCTTCTGACATAGCACTAGCTGCTCTCTCAGATTCTTCCACTTCTGCGTTGTCTTGAGCATTGGAAACATTGGACTTAGCAGACATAGCACTATATGGTCTCTCTTCAGTTTGATCCTCTTCTCCATCAGAAACATAGTATTTCTTGTATCTTGATGACCGGTTGTACTTAGAAGACATAGCGCTGGATGTTCTCTCAATATCTTCTCCAACACAAAGTTGAGAAACCTTGGTCTTCTTTGATCTGGTAGAAACATTGGACTTAACTGACATAGCGCTCGGTGCTCTCTCCTCCACTTCAACCTCAGGTTCAGCATTTTCTTCAGCAGGAACATCTGCCTTAGCAGACATAGCGCTCTGTGATCTCTCCTCGGTTTCCCCAACATCATCTTCTGCTGTAGACTTTCTTGATCTTGCTGCGGCATTATATTTAATAGACATAGCACTGGATGCTCTCTCTTCAGTTTGTTCTACATCTGCATTTTCTTCAGCAGGAACAACTATGGATTTCTTGCTTCTTGCCGAAACGGCGGACTTACCAGACAAGGCACTGGCTGCTCTAAGTTCTTCTTCTGGACAGAGTTCAGAAACCTTGCACTTCTTTGATTTTGCAGAAACATTAGACTTAGCAGACTTAGCAGACATAGCACTGGGTGCTCTCTCTTTAGTTTCCCCTGCTTCGTCTCCTGCATTTTCTTCAGCAGGAACGTCTGCAGCGGGATTATCAGAAACATCGTATTTCATCAGAAGCATCGTATTTCTTGCTGACATATTGTATTTAGCAGACATAGTGCTGGATCCTCTGGTAGACACGTTGGACATAGCAGACATAGCACTAGCTGCTCTCTCCTCCGCTTCATCCAATTCGTCTTCAGCGTTGTCTTCAGAAGGAACATCAGAAACTTTAGACTTCCTTGAGGCATTCGATTTAACTGACAAAGCACTTGATGCTGTTTTTGCGTCTTCTTCTGGTGTAATGTTTTCTTCAGCTGCCACTTCTGACATTTTAGACTTAGATCTTGTTGAGGCATTTGATTGAACTGACATGGCACTTGAGGATCTTTTGTCTGTTTGATGTTCCTGTACTTCTACATATTCTACATCTGAAACATTGGACTTCCTTGACTTTGCTGAGGCATTGGATTTGACTGACATAGGACTTGATGACCACTCTCCCTTTTCCTCCTGAACTCCTGAATCCCCAACTTTGGGCCTCCTGGATCTGGTAGAGACATTTGATTTGACAGACAGCGAGCTCATTGCCCTCTCCTTTGTTTCTGGGTCTTCGGTTTCAGTGTCCTCTGAAGGGATCCCTTCTTGACCCGCTTCCTTTTCTACTGCAGTCTCAGCACTTTCGCCATCAGCATCCGTTGCATCTCCTGCTTCGTCAGATGCTTCACATTTACACTCGTTTGATTCTTGGTCATCTTGTCCATCTGCTGGTGCCGGAGACTCAGCCTTGACTGACTTAGAGTGCACATAAGATGCCTTCTTACTACTAGGAGGCCTGGGAGATACATGTTGCATTGGTGTTGCTGCTGTGTTCAAAACAGCACTTCTGCTGGGCTCCTCCTCCCTTCTGGTGGGATCCTCCTCCTCTTCAGCGTTACTATACTGAGAACATACACACGCTCTCGAAGCACTTGGTGGAAGGTCGTCGTCCTCATCATCCTGGTCTTCCCTGAGCGATGCCAGAATCTGAGAGGAAAGACTAACAGCAGACAAAGGCCGCTCCTCTTCCTCTGCATCAGTGATCTTGACGCTAACCTCGCTCCGAGACTCCTTGGAGGGAGCAGAGGAAGAACTATCAGCGGTAGCCTCGTCGTTATCCGATGCCTGGCTTGTTATGTCAACGCTCTCGCTCTTGCCAAGGATCTCGCTCTTCTCCTCGGTGGACACCCTACTCTCACTCTTGGCAGACGTTGTCGTCAAGCGCGTCTCGCTCCTGCTGCAGCCGCGGCTGATGGTGCAGTACTCCACCGTGGTGTCGCCCCCCGCTTCCTCCACAGTCTGTTGGAAGCGCTTCTCCACCACGTGCTCGGTGATCTCCTCACTGGACATGGTCTCCACCAATCCCTTTTTACGGACAATGGTGCGTGAGGAAGCACTGGAGCTGGAGGAGGTGACTTGGTAGACAGTCCCCTGCCCGCCGGAAATATGGCTCTTCCAGATCTCGTACTCCTGGCAGTGGCCGCAGCAGTGCTGACAGTGAGGGTCCTCCAGATGCTTCTGATAGAGCTTTGTGATGTAGGCATCGTCAGCCTCGCCTGGTGAAAGGGACTCCGGCTCTGAACAGCTCTCCACACTACTCTGCTGAAGAAAGCGGTTGTCGTGGTATCCTTGGAGGTATTCGTTGGTCGTTCCTACCGACTTCTTTATTTGTGTGGACCAATGCAGGGTCTCGTCGTTCAGTAGTCGGAAACGCACTTTCATTTCCATTGACAAGCTGCCGTCTTTGTTGACTAGCACCCTTTTCTCGATGTCATCCTCCATCAAGCCTTCACTTGAATGAGGGCAGGGGCCAACATGGGCCGGGGACGTAGAGTTGATTGGTGGGAGTGATTTGTCAGATGATATGGAGTGCCTGGCTGACCGGTTGCTGGATTCAGATCTTTGGTGGATGACACTTTTCTTTGTCTCAAGTCCTAAGCTGCCTGTATTAGTGAATAGGAGAGAAAAATAAATGATCAGTTAGGTTTATAAGAAGGCTGACACTGATGATATTTCAATTTGCTAATAAAATAAAGTTCAATAACTTTCTTTTACAAAGAATTATCAGATTTGTTGTTGAAGATTGATGATGATATTGATATCTATGATGGCCATGATACCGACCTTTCCAAATAAAATGTTTTGCTTAACATAGTAGTAGAATTGATCAAAAATGTATTGTAATGACAGTGTAAGACGTTGTTGAGTTGTATTTATACCCGTTTTCTTGGACTCCTGTCCTTCACTGGCTGTGTTGGAGCGTCCCAGAGACTTTGGACTCAGTCGTGGAAGCTTGGCGTCCGAGTTTTTCCAGAAGTTCTCCGGAAGGTTGGGGTGGGAGGGCTCACGGCCCACACAAATCAACACACTGGGGCACTGCAAGAGACTCTGAACACTGTCGATCTGAGGAACACAGATAGAAAGGTGAGAAAAATGTTCCGGTAGATGAGAAAACGGACAAAGAGAGTTAGTCAAAATCAGTTGTGATCGAAATTGAGATTGTCAGGTCTCTCTCTTGCAAGAAATGTTTTATCTCAATGAGACAAACCCTGAATGAATAATGTTCACATAAAGAGTTAAATGACGCTATATGGTTAAAGTTAGGCCAAACGCAGGATATGGACATGGATTCAAAGTCGTTATGGACTACAGCCATCAACAACATGAAGATGTTAATGAGTTCAGGAATCATAAACATCTGCCATCTTAACTTTCCCACACTAACATTAAGGCTAATCATTAAAACAGCATTCTGATATGATCAGCTAGAGTTAATTAGGGGAAGTCTGTTTGAGGCCTACTGCATGTTGACTTACGTCCATATCACTGTAACCCTTTCCTGCAGTCAATGACCAAAAGCGCCCTCTTTGTCCTCATGGGTGGAATGTTACTAATATTATTAATAATTAAATAAAGATTATTTAATAAAAACAGACATCTGGTGTTTCAATGTCAAACGGTTTTGTTATATTTCAGTCTTCTGTGATGTATATAACGTTTAATATTGGGATGCAAACTCAAAATTGAATACATCTCTAACTCTATATCTGACATGGTACACGTGTCTTATTTTTTTTTAAGCCCATATGTGTGAGGTGTATACTTTTGTTTCAAAGTAGGCTTGTTTAAGACCTACCAAGAATCCCTCTGTGTGGCACTGATTTAGCCCACTGCAGTAAAAGGTTTTAAGGTGGTGAATTTTGCTCTATGTAAGCGCTTTGAGCATCTGGAAAAGCATTATATAAATTCAATCAATTATTAACTTAAAGCAGTCAAATACAATGCAACTTTTGAAAAATATTTTTCCATCTACCTAAATTGCATTGTTGATTATTTCATGCCATGCAAACAGTAGTAAATCACTTAAACCTCTTAAAGTGACAGTCCAGGAAATCGGGCACTAGAATTACTTTTAAAAATATGTATATGTTTACATGACTTATTTTATTGATTTCCCACCGTTTTCTAAGCCCATCTGAAATTAGCCCGCCCAACTACCTCATCCCTATATTGTTATTTATTTTGCTCATTTGTACCCCAGTATCTCTATTTGCACATCATCTCTTGCACATCTATCATTCCAGTGTTAATACTAATTGTAATTATTTTGCACTATAGCCTATTTTATTGCCTTACCTCCATAACTTGCTAAATTTGCACACACTGTATATATATGTATTTCTGTTGTATTTTTTGACTTTGTTTTGTTTTACCCCATATGTAACTCTGTGTTGTTGTTTTTATCGCACTGCTTTGCTTTATCTTGGCCAGGTCGCAGTTGTAAATGAGAACTTGTTCTCAACTGGTTTACCTGGTTAGATAAAGGTGAAATAAAAAAAATAAAAAATAAAAAAAAAGAAGACAGCCATCCAGACCTTGCTAGGACTATGTAAACGTCCTCTGTCGATTTTTTTTTGTATTTGCCTCCCTCTGGTGGTCGGCTGCATCATTACATCCATTTATATCACTTCACTGCAATGGTATGTCAAAGGGGCGGTCCTTCGAAAAACATTCATCCAGCTCGACTGCTTCACGGCACAGAGATGGCAAAGCAATCGCTGAATTTATCTCGAGCAGGAGGATCGAAATATATTTATTTCATAGCTCTACGATAAAGAATGCGACCTACACTCTTCCTTTAAACCTAAAATAAGTAAAGAAGTAATTTTGTGTGGAAGTCAAACGTTTGTTTTACATCGGAGGCAGACAACATTGCATATGCTCAGAAACGACAAAATTGAGCCCTTTCCATAGCACTTCTCCCTTTGTCTATAGGAGGGAGGCACGCTGATTAAATGGCCCCAAATGTTGATTTAGACGTTCACAAATGTAACAGTGAACAAGTAGGGCGGCAGGTAGCTTAGTGGGTAAGAGCGTTGTGCCAGTAACCGAAAGGTCGCTGGTTCTAATCCCCGAGCCGACTTGGTGAAAAATCTGTCGATGTGCCCTTGAGCAAGGCACTTAACCCTAATTGCTCCTGTAAGTCGCTCTGGATAAGAGCGTCTGCTAAATGACCAAAAAAAAATAAAAAAATAAAAAATAAAAATGAAAGAAATTAAAAAAAAAAAAAAAAGTGACCTCTGCGTTTCCTATATTAAACCACTTTAGTGCCTCTGCCGTGTTAGTGGTGCAACATCCCAGCAGCAGCAAAGGGCTGTGTGAGGGTCAGTCTGTCTGGCCATATTATCTTCCTAACCCAGGATCATCTCCTAGTCCTAGTCCCCATCGCCTGAGGTGACTGTGCATTCTGTTGTCTTTCCACCGGACGGCTCCCATTGTCACCAGACAAAGAGCCCCAAGCATGGCTCAGCAGTCCTGGGAGTTTGCTGAGTTTGGGGAAAGCAGGAAGGAATTACAACAGACCAGAACGCAGGAGGTCTAGGTAGTATTTAGTTGGCACCAAACAGGGGGAAAAAAACAAACATAAAACTGCGAGGAACTACTTGGATTTGTCCAATAGGAATTGGTTGTTTTAGTTTTCCGTCAATTCCGCCCGTTTCCAGCCCTAGGAGTTTGCTGAATGGGCGAAAGCAGGAACCACAGCAGAGAGAGTTGTGATCACTGTAATGACCACTGTAATCCATTACAGGTAGCATAATGACCTAGTGATTTATCTGCTCAAGTAACAAACTATTCTCTTCACTCTGTGGTTCGGGTGGAATCTCCATGTTATATGTTCATCGGACTCAAAATTAAGTAGTTCAATTTGCAATCCACAAATCTAACACAAATTAATCAACACGTTTTTTTTTTCACCTTCCTTAGTTTGCACAATTAAGTGTTAATTTGGTGAATACTATAACTTTGATTAAATATTAAAGGTTGTGAAATGTAATAACCTACTATCCCAAATAGCGTACCAATGTAATGTTTAAGTTTGGTCATGAAACACCAGACATCAAAACACCCAACATCTCAACATGAGAAAATACATATCAAATTAAACTGGAGACATACTTTGCTGATTCCAGTGAGAGCCAACAAAACTATAACCCTCTCCAGACATAGGCACTTCTGATGTTTGTCATTTGGGAAAGCAATTGGGATATTCCCTCACATACATACATATATATATATATATATACAGTGGGGAGAACAAGTATTTGATACACTGCCGATTTTGCAGGTTTTCCTACTTACAAAGCATGTAGAGGTCTGTAATTTTTATCATAGGTACACTTCAACTGTGAGAGACGGAATCTAAAACAAAATTCCAGAAAATCACATTGTATGATTTTTAAGTAATTAATTTGCATTTTATTGCATGACATAAGTATTTGATACATCAGAAAAGCAGAACTTAATATTTGGTACAGAAACCTTTGTTTGCAATTACAGAGATCATACGTTTCCTGTAGGTCTTGACCAGGTTTGCACACACTGCAGCAGGGATTTTGGCCCACTCCTCCATACAGACCTTCTCCAGATCCTTCAGGTTTCGGGGCTGTCGCTGGGCAATACGGACTTTCAGCTCCCTCCAAAGATTTTCTATTGGGTTCAGGTCTGGAGACTGGCTAGGCCACTCCAGGACTTTGAGATGCTTCTTACGGAGCCACTCCTTAGTTGCCCTGGCTGTGTGTTTCGGGTCGTTGTCATGCTGGAAGACCCAGCCCTACGACCCATCTTCAATGCTCTTACTGAGGGAAGGAGGTTGTTGGCGAAGATCTCGTGATACATGGCCCCATCCATCCTCCCCTCAATACGGTGCAGTCGTCCTGTCCCCTTTGCAGAAAAGCATCCCCAAAGAATGATGTTTCCACCTCCATGCTTCACGGTTGGGATGGTGTTCTTGTGGTTGTACTCATCCTTCTTCTTCCTCCAAACACGGCGAGTGGAGTTTAGACCAAAAAGCTCTATTTTTGTCTCATCAGACCACATGACCTTCTCCCATTCCTCCTCTGGATCATCCAGATGGTCATTGGCAAACTTCAGACGGGCCTGGACATGCGCTGGCTTGAGCAGGGGGACCTTGTGTGCGCTGCAGGATTTTAATCCATGACGGCGTAGTGTGTTACTAATGGTTTTCTTTGAGACTGTGGTCCCAGCTCTCTTCAGGTAATTGACCAGGTCCTGCCGTGTAGTTCTGGGCTGATCCCTCACCTTCCTCATGATCATTGATGCCCCACGAGGTGAGATCTTGCATGGAGCCCCAGACCGAGGGTGATTGACCGTCATCTTGAACTTCTTCCATTTTCTAATAATTGCGCCAACAGTTGTTGCCTTCTCACCAAGCTGCTTGCCTATTGTCCTGTAGCCCATCCCAGCCTTGTGCAGGTCTACAATTGTATCCCTGATGTCCTTACACAGCTCTCTGGTCTTGGCCATTGTGGAGAGGTTGGAGTCTGTTTGATTGAGTGTGTGGACAGGTGTCTTTTATACAGGTAACGAGTTCGAACAGGTGCAGTTAATACAGGTAATGAGTGGAGAACAGGAGGGCTTCTTAAAGAAAAACTAACAGGTCTGTGAGAGCCGGAATTCTTACTGGTTGGTAGGTGATCAAATACTTATGTCATGCAATAAAATGCAAAATTAATTACTTAAAAATCATACAATGTGATTTTCTGGATTTTTGTTTTAGATTCCGTCTCTCACAGTTGAAGTGTACCTATGATAAAAATTACAGACCTCTACATGCTTTGTAAGTAGGAAAACCTGCAAAATCGGCAGTGTATCAAATACTTGTTCTCCCCACTGTATATATATAAATATATATTTAGACTGCTGGGATGTTTCAGCCCTCCTGAGTAACTATTAATCCTGGTCAAAACAGAGCTATTTTGAAAGACTAGAAGCAGGTCAGTGTTGAGAATACACAGGCTATTTGAAACCAGGAGTCGCTCAGAAATGCATCTTCCACTACAGCAGCGATTAATTATCTTCATCTGGGCTACGTGTGACCACGGACAAAGCCATTTATCTGTTTCAACTGCCAGTGTGCTTTTTACAGTTGAAAAATGCACTGTAAGCAGTAAGTACAACTGAATGTACAATAGAACAAATATTACATTCAGAGCAATCTTGAAGAGACTCATTTGGCCTTTCGGATTTTTTGACTGGACGGAGATGCCAGTTTTGATAAACTGTCTGAGGATAATCAACGGACATGCACAAAATATGAATACATCTTTGACAGTATTAACTTTTTCTGGAACTAGACTTTTAACTTTTAACTTGATCCTTTGTCACCCTACGGCTCATTCCTTGTTATCTACAACCCCTGCTGTAGAGGTTTGGTTCGGATGCATCCTCGGGGCGCTACATCACCAGTGTTAGCACCACTAATGGACAGAAGTGGAGAGCAGTACAGAACTTTACAGAATGTTTACCCTGGGTAGAACATGGTAGGGGGTAGGTAGCATAGTGGTTAAAAGCATTGGGCCACTAACCGAAAGGTTGCTGGTTTGAATCCCCAAGCTGACTAGATTTTTAAAAAATCTGTCTGAACCCTTGAGAAAGGCACTTAACCCTAATTGCTCCCGGATGTCGCTCTGGATAAACGAGTACTTCATTCTTGTACTTCTTCTCCTTAAATGTACTTCTCACATTCGGTGTTAGATGTTCACTGAAACATTAAGTCCTGAACATATTCTGCATGGCCTTAAGCAGATAAAGACTAAGGAAGGAGCCATACCAGAGAGCTTGGCAGTAGACCTTATCTTAGGGATAAAACCCTTTAAATAGAGGACAGGCGCCGAACAAGCCAGAGAAATCTCTGCCTCTTAAAGAGATAGGCTTTTCCTGAACAAAACTTTGAGGTTCTCGTACTGTAATTAATACAAATTGGGTTCTGAATAGAAAAATGGAATCTCAGCATATCAGGGTTGAAGGCGCTTTGGGGCTTAGTAAAGATAAAGTAACTCCTGCCACTAGAGGCCTCTCTTTCCCTCTCACGTTTCCACACCTCTCAGGCAATTAAAAAAAAAAAAAAAAAAGAAAACTGCTCTCAAGTCTCCACGCTGTTGCGTAACATTTTCCAAACCAAATCTTTAATGTGATGACTAAAAACAATTTAACACAATCTGTTTTTATTTCCTGGTTATTATGTCTTGTGATGTATGTTGGAAAGCCTGTACTTTGTAACAAAGCAAATTTCTCTATGAGAAGTATCCCATTCTACTCTGTTGCGTCCCTCCAGAGTGTACACTAGTGGGTTATCTCTATATTAGTGGGTTATGTGTGTGGGTATCTACTATCTGATGTTGTTGTAATAGACGGTCAGTGGTGTCACCTTGCGTCCCTCCAGAGTGCACAGCTTCCTGACGTGGTACTGCATGAACTCAGAGAGCTCCTCCAGAAACAGGCCCAGGCTGCGGATGGTCCCGCGATGGAGCACGATGGTCCTCCGAACAGAGGGGTCGCTATTCTTCACCAGCACCACCTTCTTGCTGTGCCTGTGGAGGTGGTGGTGGTCAGAGGCCTCAGCAGGGGGCTCGTCAGGCCGGACCGGCCGCCTGCGGACATACTGCTGGGGGTGGTGGTGTGGGTGGACCGGAGGGAGGTACCAGGATGAAGCTTCTCTCTGGGCCTCTCTCTGGGCCTCTCTCTGGGCCTCCTGTCTGGCCTCTGTGGCCTGGGCACACAGGTAGCACCCCCGGTCCTCCAGGGGCTCCTGGTGAATGCTACCCCCACTATGTGGGGATCTGCTGGGGGGCGGCGCGGGGGCAGAATGCAGCCCGAAGGGGAGTGAGGGTTTGGGGTGTTGGTGGCCACCGTCGTCCAAGATGGCATCGAAGCACTGGAAGCTGCGCTTGTGGGAAGACATCTTTATTACTTCCTGTCCAATGGCTGTTACTTCCTGGTCAGTCCCCCGCCTCTGGATGAAGTTATCTCAGCCGAGATAAGGGAGGGGCAGGTGGTTGTTGTCATGGTTACGCCGGCTGGTTGTCTCCCATTCGCCCCGCACTGGAAGAGAGGAAGAGGGAGAAGGTTAACGGGGTCTAATGATGGTGCAGTCAAAAACGTGATATACCTGTGTTTTATATAGTTCTCCACACTAGGAGGTTGGAATAATACTGTGACATTATGAAAATTATGATGATGTCCTTTTAGTGTAAGAGCTGTTTGAAAAGACCACCTGAAATGTAAACACATTTTGCTGGGTGGAGTTTTGGACCGCCTGATGAAATCACCCACCAGGTGGTATAAGTGAATAAACCAATAACAAAGAGAGTTTCAAAACTCTCCGCCAATAACAGCTCGTTTTTAGGTTACATTAGGCTCGTCCAATTAGGCCCCTCACTCAAACCACTCCCAGACAGTCCTAACTCAATTCTTGCTTGAGAAATTTTGTTTTTGCTAAGAAGCTATTTTTGTTTCATTTTGACCATTTTAATTGAAAACAATCACAGTAAGGTACTTAATTGCTACACAGAAAATATTTTATATTGAGATCAAAACGGCTTCATTGGATCTTTAAAACTGGAATCCTTAATTGGTGAAACTGCCACATCCATTTGGAAGTTACTGCAAAAAACTAACATTGTTCTTTCCTCCTCAGACATCATTGCATGCACGATAGAACAACAGTTCTTAATTCTTGCACTTCTTCTCCTTAAATGTACTTCTCACATTCGGTGTTAGGTGTTCACTGAAACATTAAGTCCTGAACATATTCTGCATGGCCTTAAGCAGATAAAGACTAAGGAAGGAGCCATACCAAGAGAGCTTGGCAGTAGACCTTATCTTAGGGATAAAACCCTTTAAATAGAGGACTTTACATTCAATGTCATTCATAACGAACAATTGCAGGGCAATGTCACGGCTTGATACTGTGCTTGAATATGATCATGTAAAATGTGTAATTTTGTCTACAAGACTGACCGCGTTGTTGACAACATTGGCCTTCAATTGTTACATGAGAAGATTATGAAAGGAACCATTAGGAAGCAACTTTGTTTTGGAATGCAGTACTTTTTGCATGACATTAATGGAGGGTGAGGACAGACAGGTAGAGAGCAGGTGAGACAGGTAGAGAGCAGGTGAGACAGGTAGAGAGCAGGACAGACAGGTAGAGAGCAGGACAGACAGGTAGAGAGCAGGACAGACAGGTAGAGAGCAGGACAGACAGGTAGAGAGCAGGTGAGACAGGTAGAGAGCAGGTGAGACAGGTAGAGAGCAGGTGAGACAGGTAGAGAGCAGGACAGACAGGTAGAGAGCAGGACAGACAGGTAGAGAGCAGGACAGACAGGTAGAGAGCAGGTGAGACAGGTAGAGAGCAGGTGAGACAGGTAGAGAGCAGGTGAGACAGCCGGCAGCAGAGGTAAGCTTCATGTGACTTTATATAAAGAGCTTAGGCCTAGCGAGCTGACCGATTCAAAGTGGACCTGTCCATTAGTTAATCTACTGCAAGTCACTGTCCTAAATATCAAAGCATTAGAAGTTATTGTTCAATATATACATTTCCCCCATAATACCAGTATCAACCAGTTCAACATACTGTATATACTACATAAATACAGTACAGTATATAAATAGCGTACAATGTACAGTACACTACATAAATACAGTACACTACATAAATACACTACAGTATACAGTACACTACGTAAATATAGTACAGTATACAGTATGTAAACTGTACTGTATTTATGTAGTGTACTGTATGTATGTAGTGTACTGTACACTGTACTGTATTTATGTAGTGCATAAATACAGTACACTACATAAATACAGTACACTACATAAATACAGTACAGTGCATAAATACAGTACACTACATAAATACAGTACACTACATAAATACAGTACACTACATAAATACAGTACACTACATAAATACAGTACAGTGTACAGTACAAATGCAGTTGTCTTAAGAGACTATGTGGAGGGTTAACGCTAAAATCCTTGAACGTGATGAGAAAAGATTCAAGTCTACTGGCACGTCAGAGAATAACAGACTATGTGGTAATTAACAAGTAGGCTACAGGAAGTTGGATATAACAACAGGTTTACTGGAGAATGGTTCTCTCCAGCAGAACTCATTCAGTATAGTGAAGAGACAGAATGGTTCTCTCCTGCAGAACTCATTCAGTATAGTGAAGAGACAGAATGGTTCTCTCCTGCAGAACTCATTCAGTATAGTGAAGACACAGAATGGTTCTCTCCTGCAGAACTCATTAAGTATAGTGAAGACACAGAATGGTTGTCTCCAGCAGAACTCATTCAGTATTGTGAAGACACAGAATGGTTGTCTCCTGCAGAACTCATTCAGTATAGTGAAGAGACAGAATGGTTCTCTCCTGCAGAACTCATTCAGTATAGTGAAGAGACAGAATGGTTCTCTCCTGCAGAACTAATTCAGTATAGTGAAGAGACAGAATGGTTCTCTCCTGCAGAACTAATTCAGTATTGTGAAGACACAGAATGGTTGTCTCCTGCAGAACTCATTCAGTATAGTGAAGAGACAGAATGGTTCTCTCCTGCAGAACTCATTCAGTATAGTGAAGAGACAGAATGGTTCTCTCCAGCAGAACTCATTCAGTATAGTGAAGAGACAGAATGGTTCTCTCCTGCAGAACTAATTCAGTATAGTGTAGAGACGTAAGATCGACAAGTGCAATACAGACGCCGTAGTCTGACAGAGAACAAACCTTGTCCATTAGATCCCCTTTAATCAGTGTAGATGAAGGGGAGGAGACCGGTTAAAGAAGGATTTTTAAGCCTTGAGACAATTGAGACATGGACTGTGTATGTGGTAAGACAAAATATTTAAGTGCCTTTGAACCAGGTATGGTAGTAGGTGCCAGGCGCACCGGTTTGAGTGTGTCAACAACTGCAATGCTGCTGGGTTTTTCATGCTCAACAGTTTCCCGTGTGTATCAACAATGGTCCACCACCCAAAGGACATCCAGCCAACTTGACACAACTGTGGAGAAGCACTGGAGTCAACATGGGCCAGCATCCCCTGTGGAATGCTTTCGACACCCTGTAGTCCACGCCCCCGACGAATTGAGGCTGTTCTGAGGGCAAAAGGGGGGAGCAACTCAATATTAGGAAGGTGTTTCTAATGTTTGGTACACTCAAGAGTAGATCTACAAACTTTCACCTGGATCGGCTTAAAATACACCTAGAGCATAAAATCCCTTTTCCTTAATTGTTCACAATCTAGCCAGTGGCTGCTCACCCCTGTTGTGTATTCAGGATTAGGGAAGCTCACGCCATTCTTAAAACAGAGTCACCTCCACCTAGAGTCACCTCTCCACTGTGATCACTGATGTGATTAAAAATGGCTGCCGCAAAATGGCTGCCATGCATCACCCCTTATTACAATAGATATAAACTGCTTTGACCATCTGGTGAAGTACTAAACCAATCCATTTTTTAAAAATGAGACAGGTAGAGAGCAGGACAGACAGGTAGAGAGCAGGACAGACAGGTAGAGAGCAGGATAAGACCGTAGAGAGCAGGACGACGGTAGAGACAGGTAGAGAGCAGGTGAAGCAGGAGACAGGTAAGAAGCAGGACAGACAGGTAGAGAGCAGGTGAGACAGGTAGAGAGCAGGACAGACAGGTAGAGAGCAGGTGAGACAGGTAGAGAGCAGGACAGACAGGTAGAGAGCAGGACAGACAGGTAGAGAGCAGGACAGACAGGTAGAGAGCAGGACAGACAGGTAGAGAGCAGGTGAGACAGGTAGAGAGCACAGACGGTAGAGAACAGTAGACAGGTAGAGAGCAGGTGAGACAGGTAAGAGCAGGACAGACAGGTAGAGACAGACAGGTAGAGAGCAGGTGAGACAGGTAGAGAGCAGGAACAGAGACAGGTGACGAGAGCAGTGAGACAGGTAGAGAGCAGGACAGACAGGTAAGAGCAGACAGACAGGTAGAGAGCAGACAGACAGGTAAGAGCGGCTGTACGTTAGAACAGGCACAGACAGTAGAGCATAGATCAAGAAGACATGGTGAACGGCTGAGACAGGCAACTTAAACAGGACTAAGGTAATGCTTGAATCCAATGATAGATAAAAATCTGTCTGAACCTTGGGCAATCACGAGAAATTAGACAAAACGGCTGCATTGGATCTTTAAAATGGATCTATTGGTGAAACTGCCACATCCATTTGGAAGTTACTGCAAATAACGAACATTGTTCTTTCCCCCTCAGACACCATTGCATGCACGATAGAACAACAGTACTTAATTCTTGCATTTCTTCTCCTTAAATGTACTTCTCACATTCGGTGTTAGGTGTTCACTGAAACATTAAGTCCTGAACATATTCTGCATGGCCTTAAGCAGATAAAGACTAAGGAAGGAGCCATACAAGAGAGCTTGGCAGTAGACCTTATCTTAGGGATAAAACCCTTTAAATAGAGGACTTTACATTCAATGTCATTCATAACGAACAATTGCAGGGCAATGTCACGGCTTGATACTGTGCTTGAATATGATCATGTAAAATGTGTAACTTTGTCTACAAGACTGACCGCGTTGTTGACAACATTGGCCTTAAATTGCTACATGAGAATGAAGCAAAGCTCAAGGACCGAAGAGGATTATGAAAGGAACCATTAGGAAGCAACTTTGTTTTGGAATGCAGTCATTGTTTTCTCTCGTTAAAGGTTGTCCTTTTGATAGCAACACCAATACATCCCCATTAGGTCTTTAATGAACCAATGACCAATGAGCACATTCCCTCAACCTTTTGAGTTATTCTCCCGACAGTCTTAACCTTTGCTGCCCTGCAGATAACAGGCCATCTCTGCCCTTTGCTGCCCTGCAGATAACAGGCCATCTCTGCCCTTTGCTGCCCTGCAGATAACAGGCCATCTCTGCCCTTTGCTGCCCTGCAGATAACAGGCCATCTCTGCCCTTTGCTGCCCTGCAGATAACAGGCCATCTCTGCCCTTTGCTGCCCTGCAGATAACAGGCCATCTCTGCGTGCAACACATATAGCCTTAGCCCCAGATCTACAGTACTAAACATTTGCACACGGTGCAAAGTTTATATTAATATTTCAGTAAGGGATTTAACACAAAGACAACTATCTGTATTCACACCTTCCCTCATATCTTGTTCTATCTCCTAACAATTACTTTACATTTTCTGTTATATCCTCAATGTTTAATTCCCTTTTGAAAAAACAGGCGCAAACTCTGGGTCCAAGCATTACCAGTATAGATGCAACAGATGATATTACTCACGCTTTCAACAATCATGATCCCCGAATCCCAGCAGATAAAGAGAACCAAACTGCTTGAAAAACCACAACGACAGGTAGGTAAACCAACTTCATCAACCAGATCCCTACATTAAGTCTCCATATGACAACAAACCCTCAGTCTGCACACTGTGAGCATACCAAGCGACCGAGCGACCGAGCGATCAGAGGACAGAAGGAAGTGTCAGGTCTGAAGCCTTACGCCTCCCTCCCTGTGAGGCCTCTCCTGTCGTCCGCTAATATATAGGTTCAATCTCTCTCTTCTCTCCTCTCTCTCTACTCTCCTCTCCCTTCTCTCTCTCATCGTCTCCTCTCTCGCTCTCTCTCGCATCTCTCTTCATTTTTCTCTCCTGCGCCGTCGTTCTCTATGATAGTCTCCTCCGAGCGTAGCGTATGGGGGTACCTGTGAGCAAGAACGAGATCGCGCGCGAGCTCCCAACGCGGAGCGGAGAGATACATCGGAGCAGAAGTTTCTCTTGGGTCGTAGTCCGCCGACCAAAACCACTTCTAGTCTCGTGCTCTTCGGCCCCACCACACTCTTATCTCTCTCCCCCCCACCCTCTCTCTCTCTCTCCCCCCACCCTCTCTCTCTCTCCTCCCTCCCTGTGGGGCCACTCCTGTCCGCTACCTGCTAATCTGGTCGTCGTGGGTTAGGAGCAGGCTAAGGATAGAATGGAAAGCCTCTCTAATCGCTAACCCTCAGATCGCTACCAAATCTGCTGAGACTTTGGGCAGACACATGACAAGGACTTCAGCATTGCATAAACCCAGGGGAGACAAACTTAGCACGTTTTCAACGGTATGCCACAGGGAGCCAATGGATGTCCATGACTAGGCGTTATCCGGGAAGCCAACCCTGTCCACGTGGGAACCTGTGGGGCTATACCGTTTCAGACTGATCGAGAGCTAGACGGCCAATTAGACATCTGGACTGGAGGAGAGGGTGAGGGGCACTGGAAGTGAAATAATTGTCATCATGGGCATAAGTCATAAGGCCGTCTTCGGAGAGACATCAGAGAGACTTCAGAGAGACTTCAGAGAGACTTCAGAGAGACTTCAGAGAGACATCAGAGAGACTTCAGAGACTTCAGAGAGACATCAGAGAGACTTCAGAGAGACTTCAGAGAGACTTCAGAGAGACTTCAGAGAGACATCAGAGAGACTTCAGAGAGACTTCAGAGAGACTTCAGAGAGACTTCAGAGAGACTTCAGAGAGACTTCAGAGAGACTTCGGAGAGACTTCAGAGAGACTTCAGAGAGACTTCAGAGAGACTTCAGAGAGACATCAGAGAGACTTCAGAGACTTCAGAGAGACATCAGAGAGACTTCAGAGAGACTTCAGAGAGACTTCAGACTACCTGCTTTTGTTTTTAGTTTGTTTTTTAGTTGCGGACTTAAAAAATGCAACAGATGCAAAAACTAAAAGGTTGGGTTGAGCCATAGAGACAAATCAAATGCTTACTTTCGAGCCCTTTCCCAACCACGCAGTTAAAAAGTAAGAAAATTAACAAATAGAAAATAGTAACACAATAAAATAACACAATAAAATGCCAAATGCCAAATCTTTCCAGCCTCCTGAGGGGGAAGAGGCGTTGTTGTACCCTTTTCACAACTGTGTTGGTATAATATACAGTAGGTAGTAGGTAGAATATACAGTAGATATAATATACAGTAGGTACAGTGAGGGAAAAAAGTATTTGATCCCCTGCTGATTTTGTACGTTTGCCCACTGACAAAGAAATGATCAGTCTATAATTTTAATGGTAGGTTTATTTGAACAGTGAGAGACAGAATAACAACAACAAAAATCCAGAAAAATGCATGTAAAAAAAAATATAAATTGATTTGCATTTTAATGAGGGAAATAAGTATTTGACCCCTCTGCAAAACATGACTTACTACTTGGTGGCAAAACCCCTGTTGGCAATCACAGAGGTCAGACGTTTCTTTCAGTTGGCCACCAGGTTTGCACACATCTCAGGAGGGATTTTGTTCCACTCCTCTTTGCAGATCTTCTCCAAGTCATTAAGGTTTCGAGGCTGACGTTTGGCAACTCGAACCTTCAGCTCCCTCCACAGATTTTCTATGGGATTAAGGTCTGGAGACTGGCTAGGCCACAAGCAGGACCTTAATGTGCTTCTTCTTGAGCCACTCCTTTGTTGCCTTGGCCGTGTTTTTTGGGTCATTGTCATGCTGGAATACAAATCCATGACCCATTTTCAATGCCCTGGCTGAGGGAAGGAGGTTCTCACCCAAGATTTGACGGTACATGGCCCCGTCCATCGTCCCTTTGATGCGGTGAAGTTGTCCTGTCCCCTTAGCAGAAAAACACCCCCAAAGCATAATGTTTCCACCTCCATGTTTCATGGTGGGGATGGTGTTCTTGGGGTCATAGGCAGCATTCCTCCTCCTCCAAACACGGCGAGTTGAGTTGATGCCAAAGAGCTCAATTTTGGTCTCATCTGACCACAACACTTTCACCCAGTTCTCCTCTGAATCATTCAGATGTTCATTGGCAAACTTCAGACGGCCCTGTATATGTGCTTTCTTGAGCAGGGGGACCTTGCGGGCGTTGCAGGATTTCAGTCTTTCACGGCGTAGTGTGTTACCAATTGTTTTCTTGGTGACTATGGTCCCATCTGTCTTGAGATCATTGACAAGATCCTCCTGTGTAGTTCTGGGCTGATTCCTCACCGTTCTCATGATCATTGCAACTCCACAAGGTGAGATCTTGCATGGGAGCCCCAGGCAGAGGGAGACTGACAGTTATTTTGTGTTTCTTCCATTTGCGAATAATCGCACCAACTGTTGTCACCTTCTCACCAAGCTGCTTGGCGATGGTCTTGTAGCCCATTCCAGCCTTGTGTAGGTCTACAATCTTGTCCCTGACATCCTTGGAGAGCTCTTTGGTCTTGGCCATGGTGGAGAGTTTGGAATCTGATTGATTGATTGCTTCTGTGGACAGGTTACTTTTATACAGGTAACAAACTGGGATTAGGAGCACTCCCTTTAAGAGTGTGCTCCTAATTTCAGCTTGTTACCTGTATAAAAGATACCTGGGAGCCAGAAATCTTCCTGATTGAGAGGGGGTCAAATACTTATTTCCCTCATTAAAATGCAAATCAATTTATAACATTTTTGACATGCGTTTTTCTGGATTTTGTTGTTGTTATTCTGTCTCTCACTGTTCAAATAAACCTACCATTAAAATTATAGACTGATCATTTCTTTGTCAGTGGGCAAACGTACAAAATCAGCAGGGGATCAAATACTTTTTTCCCTCACTGTATAATATACAGTAGGTATAATATACAGTAGATAGAATATACAGTAGGTATAATATACAGTAGGTATAATATACAGTAGGTAGAATATACAGTAGATAGAATATACAGTAGATAGAATATACAGTAGGTAGAATATACAGTAGGTATAATAAACAGTATTTAAAGACACAGTGGTTAACATCGAGACTTAAGTAACTGAACAAGTTATTCAACTAATTGAATAAGTAGACAAATCTCAGCCAGTCAAGTCCTTGCGTCACAGAAGTCAGTTAGCCTACACGTGACTAGCATACAGGTTACACTGCTACAGTAATGTGTTGCTGAATCTACAATAGAGGACATGAGTCTCTGACTTGACAGAGATCACGTTTACATTTTGGACATTTAGTGGACGCTCTCATCCGGAGCGTCTTACAGTCAGTGCATTTGACTAAAGCCAGGTCGAGTGGCACAGACACAGAAATGTCATTAGAACACGGTCAAAGAAAAGAAAAAGGCAGTTTTGAGCCATTGCTGTAAACGATCCATACTGCAGCCAGAGGAAGAGTAAAACAACACGGAACCAGAGGGCTAGCAGACAACGGGCAGGACCACCCCTCTCTGTGGTGGGTGAGGGCTAGCAGACAACGGGCAGGACCACCCCTCTCTGTGGTGTCTGAGGGCTAGCAGACAACGGGCAGGACCACCCCTCTCTGTGGTGTCTGAGGGCTAGCAGACAACGGGCAGGACCACCTCTCTCTGTGGTGGGTTGAGGGCTAGCAGACAACGGGCAGGACCCACCTCTCTCTGTGGTGGGTGAGGGCTAGCAGACAACGGGCAGGACCACCCCTCTCTGTGGTGGGTGAGGGCTAGCAGACAACGGGCAGGACCACCACTCTCTGTGGTGGGTGAGGGCTAGCAGACAACGGGCAGGACCACCCCTCTCTGTGGTGGGTGAGGGCTAGCAGACAACGGGCAGGACCACCCCTCTCTGTGGTGGGTGAGGGCTAGCAGACAACGGGCAGGACCACCACTCTCTGTGGTGGGTGAGGGCTAGCAGACAACGGGCAGGACCACCACTCTCTGTGGTGGGTGAGGGCTAGCAGACAACGGGCAGGACCACCCCTCTCTGTGGTGGGTGAGGGCTAGCAGACAACGGGCAGGACCACCCCTCTCTGTGGTGGGTGAGGGCTAGCAGACAACGGGCAGGACCACCCCTCTCTGTGGTGGGTGAGGGCTAGCAGACAACGGGCAGGACCACCCATCTCTGTGGTGGGTGAGGGCTAGCAGACAACGGGCAGGACCACCACTCTCTGTGGTGGGTGAGGGCTAGCAGACAACGGGCAGGACCACCACTCTCTGTGGTGGGTGAGGGCTA